TTTTCCACAGTTTACAGTTAAATTCTTTCCATTGAATTGCAAGATTTTATTAAATTACAGACTCTTTAGAGGAACTAGCTATCCGGTTTTTCATATATTTTATCTATATGCAATCCTCTCTTGAATTTTTCTGTTTCAGGATTTTTTTAAAAACTTTTTTGTTCTCTATTTCTATCTGACTTTCTTCATCCAATATAAGACCCACAAATTAAAGATCTGTTTCTGTAGCCTTAGAAGCATCCTGAACAATTGGTCATTTTTTTCAAAAGTGAATTTAGTGGGCCAGATCCTTGGTTGCCTTTTTTTGCTGTTTTGACTCAGATCCAATTTTGAGGGCTTATGTGGGACTTAAATGTCAGCTAGGAATTATGCTCCTCCCCACCATCTGCAGGGGGATGAATTTCATCCAGAGTGAATGGTGTGTTTTAAGAAATATCCCAGCCTCTAAGATGTTTCAGAGTTGTCTTTGACTTCTTTCATAATGTAACTTTTCTGAATCCAGATTCACAAGCTTTTCTCACTATAAAGAAGTGTAAGTAAATATTTCCCTTTTTCAAATGCCCAATTTTCTCACGTTTTGCCAATTCCAGTTTAACATTTCCTATGAAAACTCCTTGGACCTATTTTGGATTTTATTCAGATTGTTCCATGAGCGAGGAAAAGGGTGAGAGGAATGATTTTTTTTTATCCTTCCAGTGTGCAGCTACATGATGTCATAACCATAAGAACACCAATATAGAGCTGATGAAAATGACTTGACTTTCTTCATTTCCTTTTGACATTTTGTGTTAATTAAATGACAAGCATGGGGTACTACTACTAATTACTCCTGGGGGAATTCTGATTCTGTGTCACTGCGCAAGTGTAAAATTAATGTCCCTTGCCGATCTCCCCCACCCCCCTCAAATAATTGATTCTGATGGGGAGGCAAAGGGAAGCTTTCACCCACCAGGCGTCATGTGGCACCAGAAGAGAGGACAGCTGGCTCATGGGCTGGAGCCGTCAGCTGCAGAGAGGAAGTGGGGTAGATGCTGCCTTCCTGACAGCACCCTGCTCGCAGGACCAGGTAAAGAGGCATGGGATATAGGGGGATGGACAGAGCGGGGCACATGGGGCTGCTGGGGGGTCTCACAGACTGGGATTCAGAAGGGCTAGTGCAGAGGACAGACTGGGGCAGGGGCACAGGAGTTAGTGGGGTGACATTGAGCTAAGGGCTGAATGGGAGAGGGGGTGCAGGGCCACATGGGGATGAGGGAAGTGGGAGTGGCTGAGTGGGGATGCAGGGACACATGGAGACAGGGGCAGTTATGCCTGGCTGAATGGGTGAAGCTAGAGGTCAGTCAGGCTCTGCATGAGGAAGTCTCTTCAACTCCCTAACCATTCTCCCACCCACACCCAACACTCCTCCAGGTTCACTCCCAAGCTCCTTCCCAGCAATTACTTCCCTCTCCCTCAGCTCCTCCATTAACCCTAACTTGCCCAAGCCTTTGCACTGCTTCTGAGGAGTGCAAGAAATACACTTCTGTATTGTAGTTTAAATGAATTATTACTCAAAGTTCTGTATTAATATGCCAGGAACCTATTTGTCAAAAAACATTTCCTGGATCTTTTTTGTTGTCTTATTGTTACAGACATACTTGCTGACAGGTATTTTTAAATAAATTACCAAAATCATTGAAACTGGCATGATTATATTGTTATTTTGACAAATAAAATATGCAGAATTTTGCAGCATTTTAAAATATTATACACCGAATTTTTAACTTTTTGGTGCAGAATTTCCCCAGGAGTATACTAATAGGTGCTTCCCCCAAATACTTGCTATTGGGACATATCACCGTGAAAATGAGATAAGAACAGTATTGGTAACATAACATGGGAATATGTTTATTTTTTGAATATATATACATAACGCCTACCAAACACATCTCTGAAGTGCATGCAGTTATCAAGATGCATTGGGGTTTTAAAACTGCTGATTTATTGTGCCTTATTTATGGAAATGTATGTACATTTATGCACAACTTGCATCCTATTTTACAGCTAGAAGATGTTGGAAGGTATGCTAACAAGTTGGCTGCTTGCTTTTTTTCCCCCCCATGTCCTCCCCATATGCCTGTAATTTCTTTCCTCCCTCTGTGGTGAGTGCTGTTGCCTGTGTTTATGCATCCTCCAGTTGTTTACGCTCTTTGCTGAATACGCAATGTTGGAGTGGAACATATGGTGTTGTACCTGGTCATGACTTTGTTTACAAAGGCTACACCCTCTTTCTTTCTGCTATGCACACAATGAGCCTGGGAGGTCTGCATCCATGCCTCACGTGAATTTCATCCAGTGGAAACTTACCTTTAAAGAGGGTTATGTGCTCTTTGCCTCACTGTAGACAAAAGTTATTACTTTCTTAACTCTCTCCTGTGGTGAATAGTCAAAATCAGGCTTGTAGGCTAAAACTTACACACTTCTGTTGTGCACTACTATTCTGTATAGACAAGCCCAGGGGTAGGCAACCTATGGCATGTGTGCCAAAGGTGGCACGCGAGCTGATTTTCAGTGGCACTCACACGGCCCGGGTCCTGGCCACCGGTCCGGGGGGGCTCTGCCTTTTAATTTAATTTTAAATGAAGCTTCTTAAACATTTTAAAAACCTTATTTACTTTACATACAACAATAGTTTAGTTATATATTAGTCTATATATATATAGACTCATAGAAAGAGACCTTCTAAAAACGTTAAAATGTATTACTGGCACGCGAAACCTTAAATTAGAGTGAATAAATGAAGACTCGGCCCACCACTTCTGAAAGGTTGCCGACCCCTAGACAAGCCCTACCTTTACAGGGATCCCAGCAATGAGACATAGTTGTCTCTGGGATGGGGACATATCAGCGAATGAACTAATTAACAGAAATACTGTAAAATTTGAGACAAGATAAAGAAAATCTGCATCTGATTAAAGGAACCCCTCTCACCCCAGTCTCAGTAAGACAGAGAAGAATTGCCCTGCTTGGTATTTGGCCAGGATACTCGGGTTAACATTCTGGTATTTTTACCCTGACCCTGAGTGGGCAGGGAGATTCATAGATTCACAGGGTTTAAGGCCAGAAGGGACCACTAGAATATTTAGTTTAACCTCCTGTATAGCATACACCATTAAATTTCACCCTGTTACCCCAATAACTATGTCTCTATTAATACCTATCATTAACTAGATCTCTATTGTATTATTATTTGTACTGAAGTAATGCCTGAGAACTTTAATTGTAGATCAGGATGTTAGTCATAGACCAGTACCTCATTCTTCTGTGCCCTGTATAAGCACATAACAAAACCAACCTTAATTGTGACATTTCCTAACTTTGAGTGCTTAACTTTGTAACCTGAATAATGTTCCTTAAATGTATACATGTGGAGTCCTGCTACACATAGAAATTGAGAGCATATGGAGCATGCTCAGTCATTCTGCGGAGCTAAATGCCTGCATAGTCTGGTCAGCACAAGCAGCTGAATAAGATAAAATCTTCGGAGATTTTTGCTACTAAAATTAAAGAAGTCTCTACTGACCATGCACAAACTGCAATTGGGGCAGATTGTCGTGGGGACGGCAATAGGGATATCCTTGACACAAAGGCCACCTTTCTACCAAATGTCAAGTTCCTTTTCCAAAGCACAAGGGCACTACAGCTGTTTGAAGAAAAGGTCAACAGAATTTTTTAACATGGGCAAAGAACATATTTCCCCTTAGCCTCCTGTTTGGAAATTGGCTGAACTGTTTTTTGCTGAAATTTTTGAAGAAATAAAATAAAAATTAAATGCCTACATTAATCAGCCTGAGGCAGAAACCTACCATGTAAAATTTCAGATTAAAAGATTAAAGGCTGGCAAAATTATAAGCAACTGAAAACAGGGTGTTGTGAAATGTAACCATAGGAATGGATGCTACCAGAACTATCTACAATACACCAGATTATAAACCAGATTCCCAGTGGTGGGGGAGTTGCTGGAGCTGGGAAAACTACAAAGAAGTGTCCAGGTGATTGTGTAGGCTACAGCAGTGGGGAAAGGTACTTTGTGTCTATGTGCACAGAACTCTCCCTGCATGGGTACCTGGCCTCCCAGCACGTAGACACTCTCCCCATGCAGATACATAAAGGGAAGAGTGTACACATACAACACGCTTTCCCTCTGCGCTGCGCCAAACACGCAGGTTCAGCGGCCCCGACACTGGGGAGCAGCTGCTCGTCTCGTGAGGCAGCTCACTCGCTCCTGCCCCGCCCCAACCACAAGAGAAGTCTCGCGAGAAGCTGCATGCCTCGCTTGGCTGCCCTTAGCCTTAAGGAGGCTGCCTGGAACGCACCCAGAGAGTGTGTCAATTATGACGCTACAGAATGGAACGCAGCGAAGGGCGGATGCAGTGATAGGCGGCGGGGGGAGGCAGAATTCGCTGCTCGGGAAGGGGCGCTGCAGCCGCTCGCGCGGGCGTTGGGGCGGCAGGAGAACCGTGCACTGGCAGTGCGCAGCTGTCGCCCGTAGGCGGGGGTCATGCAGAACGTTCCTCAGCTGTTTAATAGACCCACGTGCCTCTTTGATGGCTAGCTGAGGCTGAGCAGCCGGTGTAGCATGCAGCCGTGCATCACAAGGATGGGGAGCCTGCAGCAGGCTTTACTCCAGTCCTGGCACACAAAGCAGAACTGCCCCCTCCCCTTCTCGCTCTCCTGGCTTCGGCTCACGCCCAGCCTCTGCCGCGGGGAGGGGAGCGTTGCTGTTTCAATGAGAAATTCATCCATCTCCCCGCTGCTTGTGCACAAAACGTGCCCGGCTCCCACGGTGGGAGCCCTGCCAAAAAAAGAAAAAAAAGCGAGAGGCAGGAAGGGGGGGTGCCGCGGCCACCCGCCCGCCTGAGCAAGGAGGCGGCTGCAGAGACTGTCTTCCGTGGAAAGTCACCCGAGTGCCCGCTTTCCCCCGTGCGTGTGAGGCCGCCGCTAGAGGGAGCTGTGCTACAGAGAGAGGGAGGGAGAAGGGAGAGGCAGCTGCCGCAGGAGGAGAAAGACCCCCCAGCTACTTCTTCAACTCGGTCTGCCCCCTTCCTCCTCAGCTCTGCGCTGCTGCTGTCAGTAGCGGCGGCCTGAGGAGCCGCAGAGCCCCCCACAGCCCGGCTGCGGTCAGGGCCGGCGCTCAGCCCCGGCGCGGAGCAGAGGCGGAGTGGACTGGGGCTGCTGCGGCTGGGTTCCAGTTCTCTCCTCCTCCATCCACCCACCCAGCTGTATCATTCTTAGTCACGGCTGGCTTTGCTGCCGCTCGCCTTCCCGCTCTCCCGGCTGGTTTTGGTTTCCCTTTTGCTGTCAGTTTCCCCCTGTGCACTGACCAGTGGGGTTTACATTTAAACCAACCGAAAGCCGCGGGGCGGAGAGAGGGAGAAGCTGCGCGAAGGAAGGTAGCTCGCGGAGAGGCGTGGAGCTCCCCACCCCTCCCGACCAGCCCCATCAAACCATCCGGTAAGAAAGTAAAGAAGCCAGCGAGGGTGACACCGACTCGCCCGGAGGAGGAGAAGCGCGTCTTCTCTCCCGTCTCGCCTCCTTTCCGTCCCCGCTCCTCCCAGCCCCTCTTCTCCGAGGCCCCGGCAGGAGCAGCCTGGACTCATGATGGCTTCAACCACTACCTGCACCAGATTCACCGACGAGTACCAGCTCTTCGAGGAGCTTGGAAAGTAAGAGACCTGCCGGCCGCTGCACACTGTGCGGGGAAAGGGGGAGGGGGTCCCAGAGCGGAGGGGAGGGGGATTTCGGTTGGGGGCAGGGGAGGTGGTTTGACACGTCAAGGCTGGGCAAAGAGGTGGCTTTTGTTTGGGTGTAAAATGAAGGGGGGGGGGAATCAGGCTGGTTGTTGCCTCAGATCCTTTGCAAAGGATACTTAGTGCATTGCTGATCTCTGCAGTTGGAGCTGTCATGGGGGAGGGAGGAGGATTCAGCTCTATGCACGTATCTAGATGATAAATTCATATTTTTTAGACGCAGCTGCTTCTCTGCTTTGCATGCTTGTCTGTTTGATACTTGATACAATTAGGTGCCACGTTTATTGATGCAGAAAGTTCAGCTGGGCATACAGTATATTTTGCATCCAGCACTTTTAATAGGGAGTAAGGGCGACCCTGCGTGAATGTAGCTTGCCCCCTCCCCTTCCCTCCTCTTGTTATTTATGAAAGATTGTTGTTCTCGATCTTAATATCACACTGTATCTATCATTCTCTTCAGGATTTATAGCCACCATTCTCGCCAGGCTGTAGGAGAAACCCGATGTAGACAAGAAAGCTCTGCCCAGAGCAGGGTGTGCTTTTGTATTTTTCATGACCACGATCAGAAAAGCTGTGCGGTTTATTTGACACTCGAAAATACACCCAAACGCTCATAGATCCACTGTTTACAAAGAAGCTTGATGGCAGTGTATTGTTCAGACCTGAAATTAACTATTGCCCAGTCTCCAGTTTCTCTTTGATTTTTTTTAAATTTGTGAGTTCATTGCTGTGTCATTTCGTTATGTAAATAACTTGAAAAGGCTTGTGGGGCTACCATTTGGTATTAAAAACATGGAGAATATGTCGTAAACAGGAATCTAATTCAAATGCTCCTTTTCTGCAAGGAGTAGGAATGTCACCGTGTAGCGCAGTATTTATTAAGATCTACTTCCTTGTCACACAAATGGGCTCAGTGTTTAAATTTAATTAAATACAATCGCCATGTTGACAGAGCTGGAGGTGAATTTTTTACACAGATTTTGTTTCGTTTTTCACACTTTTTTGCTGCTTGTAAGATAGTCACAGAGCATTTGAGGCTTTTGAGTCAGGGAACTGTAAAAATGTGCACGTTTCCGGTGTGTAAATACCATCACTTATAATTTACAGTGTACATATATTTAAACTGTTTAATGATGTGACTTGTGCTCACTTGTATTTTAAATCCAGTTTACTGTTATAGTCTATAAAATGAGTAATGATTGCCATTTTGTGCTCATTTTCCTGTCTCCTGTATTGACATTATGTGTTTCAATCAAATCAGTTAAAACACTCAAATTATTAGAACCATTATTCAGTATTACAGCCCTTGTATTGATGTTTGTCTGGTTATTGGTTTTCAGGGGGGCGTTCTCAGTGGTGAGAAGATGTGTGAAAATTCCTACAGGACAAGAGTATGCTGCCAAAATTATCAACACCAAAAAGCTGTCTGCTCGAGGTGGGTATTTTTCAACCCAATATTTTCAGTGTCTCTCTCTCTCTCTATTGCTCCCCCCGCCCTTTTTGTGCTTATAATAGTATTATATCTAAGCATTTACACATTGAGTAGATATTTTATTTTTTTCTCCGTATATTTTCCATTTTCCTAAAATACTGGTTAGTTTTTCCATGTTGTTAAGTAATCTTTTACTGACTGACAATGCTTAGATATGAGATTACTGCTCTACCATGCTAAAAGGAAAGATGTACAAATTCTACAGCATTTTTTTGAAGATGCAAATCTGCTTTTCAGCTCTGAGAGAGAGTTTGAATAACAGCCTGGAATGTCATTTTATTTTATTATTTTTTGAGAAAATGCTCTCACTCTAATTTTTATTAAGAAAAAATAGGTCAAATCTTAATTGAATCACATTCTTCCATTATATTTAAATATGAACATAATTAATCAAGCCATATTTAACAGTGAACGCCTTTAGAAAAAAATTTGATCTGCTGCACATACAGTTTTTCAAAGGAAAATGTAGTATAATAGGGTAGACATTTTATAAAGTAACTATTTATGTACCAAATAGTGATGTTTAAGTGAAGCATTTGTACTGTTATTTCTATCATGCACATATTTTCTTCTCCTTTTATTTGTATTTTCCTTATGTGGTATATATTTGACAGCTGTATCTATATCTATATATAGATATTCACTGGTTGTGTGCTTACACTACATTAAAGAAACTATATATTTACTGTGTGTTAGGACTGCTGAAAATAGGCCTTATACTTATTGTCTGATAAATCCACACTAACGTGCTTGTACGAGGATGTTAGGGATTAAGGATTATTCTCTGTTGACATTATCTTTACTTTCATGTGAATTTATGGTATTGTGATGAGCATGGAAATGTGTAAACAAACCATGTCAGTGTGTAAACCTGCCTTTGTGGCTTGGTCTATATTTTATACAAGGGAAGCGTTGTATACAAGCAGCACTCTGATTTCATTAATTCATTTAATAAATATATAAAAGAATTCTTCTAATATATGGTGGCATAGCTGTAACTTTTAATGCTTCTCTAACAGCTGGGGATCATTCAACATTTTGCATTATATAATCTTATTTTCAGCTCAGTAACAGGGCTATAAAAGTTTACTTTTCACTAACTCTTAGACTTCAGGCTCTTAATGTGTGAGAGATTTATTTTTTCTCTTCTTTTAGTTTTGTGTAACCATATTTCTAATGAGTCTGTTCGTTTTTAGGATGTGGTTTATTTTTTTAATGGAGGGGTGAGGAAAGTAAATGGAAGTTTGTGATTTGAGAACTTTTTTTTAAACTTAAAAATACATTTTGATTTTAAATTATTTTTTCTCTGTCAGTTGATAATGTTGATCTGTTAGTTTGGATATTTAAAAGAAAAATAGCCAAAATATTGACATTTAAAACAGATAAATGTTTAAAAATTTAAGTCCCTCTTGACACGAGAGACAGTAATGGACTCAACACTGGATTGTTAATGAATTATGGTTTGAATGTATCACATATATATTATGATTTTAAATATGTGTGTTACAGTGAAGAAACTATAACATTTATTAAAGTAAATTTTAAAGAGTCTGCCTTAAACTCCTAAAAGTAGCACAGGACGTGCAAAATAGAAGCATTTACTTTTTCTTACACCATTTTCTCTAGACATTGCAGCACATACAGGACCAAATTCATCTTTGGTGTATTCTTTTAATTTAAGTGGAATTTCACCAAGGAAATTGAGAGCACAGTATGCAGTGTAACATCATGCACAGATCTTGGATTTCTGCATTCACGGTACCCAAGAATTCAACTCTGAGTTCCCTTACTTTTGTGGATTTAAACTTTAAATCTGAATAATAAATTGTGGGCATGTCATTTTCCTTACATATACATGTGTGAATACATGATATATTGTCAGTGGATTTAAGTGAGTATTATAGGGGTAGGGAATGCTAACTGTCCAGCTCTGCCTGTACAAATTTGCACAAATAGTTTGGTCATTGATTAGGCAACTTTCACAGAGCTAGATTTTACAGAACTCTTCAAAAATTGCTAGTAGGAAGTTTTGCTTTCATTTCTATTGCAGTGATATGGTCCATATAGTGAGGGTATTAACATACCTAAGAAATTGCTTTGTATTGTGTGTGTATATATCTACACATACACACAGTATACGTATAATAACTACACAGACTCAGTGTACTGAGGTATTTTGTTAGCTAAATAGCTCCAGATATGAAACAGTAATCATCAAGCATGCATCAGGTTAGAAAAATATGTTCTTGTGACCCTAACTATTTGTAGTCTATTAAAAGCATGCTTCCAATTTCTCTGTATTCAGATATTTATTATGATATAGAAGCTATACGTTGCATAGCATCAAACTGTGATACATTTTAATATGGATAACTGATAATGGATTTACAGATTGTAGTTTAGATACTATTTGAAATCACACCATTATTTAATTCTTTTCACATCTTGACATGTTTTTCATTGTGAAATGGAGCCGTTGATTTTCATGGGTTCATACGATAATTCACTGGTGTATGAAATCATAGAGTATGCTATTGTTTAATTCTAATGGGCAGTTCATAAAGGGAACTTCATCCCGGTGCACAGGGTACAGTAACTCCTCACTTAATGTTGTCCCGGTTAACGTTGTTTTGTTGTTACGTTGCTGATCTATTAGGGAACAAGCTCGTTTAAAGTTGTGCAATGCTCCCTTATAACGTCGTTTGGCAGCTCCTGCTTTGTCCACTGCTTGCAGGATTCTCTAGAAGGGGATTAGAACCAGGTAGGGCCAGCAGCCCTCTCCCCCATCAGCTCCCCTAAATTCCCTGTAAGGTATGTGGCGCGGCAGCTGCCCAGCAGTAGTTCAGCTGTCTCTTCCCACACTGCTGTGCTGCTCCTGTCCGCCCTCAGCCTTGGAGCTGCTCCCGGGAGCTTCCTGCTTGCTGGGGGAGGGGGACAGAGGGGTGCTGATATCAGGATGTCCCCCTGTTTCCCCCCCCCCCGCACTCTGTACCCCCTCTCCACAAAGCGGAGGAGAGGGACAGAAAGGAGGGAGCTGGCTGGAAGCTGTTGCTTCCTGTCTGAACTGGCTGATCTGCTTAAAAGGGCAATGTACTTGAAGTGGTGTCAGCGTACTTAAAGGGGCAATGCACGTCTCTCTCTCTCTCTCTCTCTCTCACTCATGCACGCACCCCGCAGTACTTTGGAAAGTCAGCACCTGCGCAGCCGTGCATGTGCTGTCAGGAGGAGGGAGTGGTGCGCTCCAGCTGGATAGCGTGGGCTGCTCATCATGTTCAGTTTTTTCAGGGAAGTGTTTGCAGTTACTGCCCTGCATCTATTGTGTTTCCTCCCTCCTGCCTCAGTCCATGCTGCCTTGCAGAGTGTGAGGCTACATTAACAACAGCCTATTAACCCTTGAGGGCTCAGCTGAATGCTGGCTCATCATTTAGCAGCAAGGCATTCCCTGGGAAATATTCCACTCTTACTCCACCACCTCAACCAAGCTTCACAATTATTCATTGCTGTGTACCTAATCCCCCTATTTACTTTAATTCTTATGGGGAAATTGGATTCGCTTAACATCATTTTGCATAAAGTCGCATTTTTTAGGAACATAACTACAACGTTAAGTGAGGAGTTACTGTACATACAAGGTACTCTGTGTTGAGGTGAATGTCATGTATGGTGACTGGTTCTCTTTGGTGTAGTTCACTAAATTCACATAGTGTTCAATAAGACTTTTGCTTGAAACATTGAAGAAGAGGTATTTTAACAAATGATATGGAAAAATCAAGACTTTGATTATATTTTACTAAGTTTATTTAAAACAGTATTAATATTCTTAGTTATGGGTTTCAGTTAGTGTTGCCTAGTCAAACAGCTCTTTCCCACCTACGTTTTCTTTGACTATATTTGAACACTTAGATTCATAGTCCTCCCAATGTGAAATATTGATCTGGTCATACAAAGTTGTCTGTGGATTTGCACTTTCTTCATAGTTTCCCTGCATAATTAAATCTTTACAAAGGAGTTTCAAAACACTCTTGTGTTTAAAGTGCTGCATGTTCTTTTTCACTTGTTTGGGGGTCTTTTGCACAACACTTTGCATTTCTACTGCTCTTATTTTCAAAATTAAGTTTGTGTTTTAAATTTGTGACAAATTACATATATTTGGAATGTGGTCACATACCAAACTAATCCAAATTGCAAAAGAAAAAATACTATTGTTTAAAGTTCAATTTTTTTTTAAATAAAGAATTTGATTTTAAATGCATGGTTTGCTATAATATTGATAACAGTTAGAAATTTCATCAGTTTCATGGTTCTCTGTTGATTTGTTGTTCTTAAATAATAATAGAAGTATAACCTTTCATTGTAGAAGCACCTTTTGTGAACAATTTTTGTGTTAACTAATATTTCAGTAGGAACATACAAAAGTTCCACTTTTCATTTAAAAATAATGTCAAGCTTCATATGCAAATTGTAGTTTTTGTAAATTATTAAACTTTAATGAAGAATGAAGAGATTATTTTCTAACAATATGAATCTGTATTAAATTAACAGTTGGTCATTTGTATCAGAAGAACACATTATAAATAAACTAGGAGCATGAATATACTGCAGGAAAGTAGACCCCTGAAAGAAAGTGGAAGAGCTGGCATACTACAGAAAAGTAGTAGCAAAAACCAGTATATCTGTGCTGCTTTTGCATTGTACTAGGCTTCATCTTATATATATTCTATTACTTTTTATTAAATCTTGGTTTTGTTATTTGCAGAGGCTGTCTTCTTTGTGGGTATATAGTTAGGATGAATAAAGTTTGCTATTCTAAAATATTATTTTATTCACTCTTGCCCTATTATGCATCAAACTTTAAAAAAAAAAAAAGACAAAATTTAATAGCACTTATTTTTATCTTTGAACCTCTTCTTTTTTGAAAGAATTGTGGCTTTAACCCTACGCAG